TACTCAGAATCATGCTGTTACGATCGAGCCCCTTTTGCAGCTGAGGCTGTAAAATTCTGTTACCCACTCCCCAGGTGTGCTCAGCAGTGTGGACACCTTCATACAGATGCCTCATAGGAGGTTTAGATTCCCGCATGGGTGCCCTGCGTGCTTCTAAAGTACTTGTGTTGCTTGTGGCACAGAACTAGACCTTGGACTCTGATTTTCTTAGTTCAGATTCTGTTATTCTTAATGGAATTTAATCACTGTAACAGTCTGGATGCCCACCATGTAGACAGAATTCGAGTCAGAAAGGGATTCCAGATTCTAGGCTGATAGTTTCCTCTGCTAGATCAAGGTTCTTATCAGTTTATTGGTGTTTCTGGTGCAGAGGCTGAGTGATGGACTGGGAAGGAGGGGAAAGTGGGGGAGCAGTGAAGGGACAGAGATGGAGCCATGAGGAGCACAGGGCATGAGGAATGTCTGCTTTTCTGATGAGAAGGAGAGAATGGCAATAGATGACATGAATGCACTGTGGTTGGACCAGTGGGTTCAACGGGCTGTTTGGCTCCTTCCTATGGCAGGTACAATGGGTACTGCAGAAGGTGCAGCTGGCCTGGCAGCAGGGGCAGTAGGAGGTGCAGCAGCAGGCGCAGCAGCAGGGGTAGCGGGAGGGACAGCAGCAGGTGCAACTGGCACAACAGCAGGTGCAGCACCAAGTACAGTAGACGCAGCAGCAGGCACCACAGCAGGTGCAACTGGCCCTACAGCAGGGGCAGTAGGGGGTGCAGCAGCAGGCACAGCAGCAAGGTGCAGCAGGCATAGCAAAAAGGCACAGCAGCAGGCACAGCAGCAGGCGCAGCAGCAGGGACGGGAGGGACAGCAGCAGGTGCTGTAGGATACGGTCATGACATAGAAACGCAGTGTGTACTATTCCCCAGCCTCCTAATCAGTACCCAGGCTGCTTGGGTGGACTTTCAGCTCCTCCAGCAGTTAGCTCTGTGCACGTGTGGCCCCCTTGGGGTCTTACCTCCTGGGCCTCAGCTCCCTCATTTGTAAAATCATAATCAAAATGCCTACATCTCAGTGTTAATTTCTGAACAGGAGAAGATCTGTATAGAAGATCCCAGAACAGTGATACATGGCAGACAAATAGTAAGTGGTAGATTTCGTTGTTATATCACTGAAATAATAAACGACAGTTATGTTTCTGCCATACAATTATATAAACGTAACATTTATCGTTATCAGTCGGAAAATAGTTCTTGGCCAGGATTTTCCTTTATTTTATTTTTTTTTTTTAAAAGTTCTTTTTTTTTAATTTTTTTTTTAAATTTTTATTTACTTAGGATAGTCACAGAGAGAGAGAGGGAGGCAGAGACACAGGCAGAGGGAGAAGCAGGCTCCATGCACTGGGAGCCCGATGTGGGATTCGATCCCGGGTCTCCAGGATCGCGCCCTGGGCCAAAGGCAGGCGCCAAACCACTGCGCCACCCAGGGATCCCCAGGATTTTCCTTTAAATTGGCAAAGGCAAATAATAATGGGCTTTTCTTTCCAAAAAGATGGGATTTTAAATGATGGCCAAGCAGCCCATAGCTTGTACTCCTAGAAGCTTGGGCTTCTCTTAGTGAGACATGGACCCCAGGAGGAGAAGCTTTCCTTAAGGCAGGTGACAGTCCCTAAACTACAGAGTAACTTCTGCTGACGTCCTCATCTGTGGAAGAAATGTTTCCACGCATTTGACCTTGCCTGGTTACTGGTGCTGGGCCGTTCCCATCGTTTATTTCTAGAGCACAGCTGAGCCACCAGTAGCCCTTCCTCAGAGAAGACAGGTTCTCATGTTGCTTCTCAAGTCTCCTCAGAAGCTGTGGTGGTTGGAGTGTTTCGTGGGAGCCTGTTCAGGAAACAGGGGTGATGGGAGCAGGACGGTGGTCAGGCTCTGCGCGCAGACTGGGTATCTTCTGGAATTGAGGGAGAGTGGCACAACCCAGTGGGGGTGGTGCGACGCTGGTGTGCAGTGTCATCGGTAGAAGGGACACCTCGGCTCCTGCCCTGGCCAGAGGTGATAACATCAACTCTCACTGAAGTCTTGAGACTGGTCAAGTTGGCATTGTGGCCTGCTGACCTGCCACATGATAAGAACACTGGAGCGAAAATCTCAGACCTGGAAAGGATGTCAGAGGCACCCTCATTCACAAGGGAGGACATCAGTGCCCAGAGTTAGGGGGTGTCGCTCGGTCCCAGGTCAGAGCTGGCCCCATATGCAGTGCATGCAGGGAATCAAGCTTTGTCATCTCTGTGCTATACTCTTGCTTCCTGCCCCTCCTCTGGTTTCTCTTGTTTTCCATGATACCTTTTGGAAATCTGCCTTCCCTCTTTTCTGATTTTAAAAACTCCTGTTACTGGTGATTTCAGTAAATTCTTACCTATGGGGAAGTATCATAAAGAAGCATCTCCTCTGAAAGCAATGGTACTAACAGTTTGGGTACGTCTTTTTAGCCTCTCCCCCCACTTGCCCTTCATAAGTCATAATTCTTCTGCCTAAGGATCTGAAACCCAGAATTTCAAGGGAAATGGTATTTGCGAGTGGAGTGTGGTCCCTTCTAGAGACAGAGGGTGTTCCTCTGTAAGAATTAGTTTTTGAGGGGTATTACTTCAAAGCAAAAATAGTTTAATTTTTTTCTAATTTTAAAAATGATAAATTTTTACACTTTAAAAATGATAAATATTAAGTAGAAGAGCCAAGCCAGAGATATGCATCCACTTGTTAACATTTTGGTGGATGACCTCCTGTCTTTGTACATATGTAAGCCTAAACACATTTCTATCAAGGGCTCATAGTGAACCTGTTTTCTCTCACTTTAACGGTGTCTAATGTGGGGTTTTCATGCAAATGACTGAAATGCTTAAGCACTGCTCTTTCACTGTGCAGGAATGTGTCCGCACACCTTCTCTCAGTGAAGATTTACATTGTTTTTAGATTTTGCTAAACAGTCATTTATTGAACTGTCTTTGTACATTTTTGCTCACCTGACCAGTTGACCTCTCGGCCTGTGTTTCCAAAAATAGAACTATAGGATCTAAGGCATACCCGTTGAAAAGCTGTGCCAAACACAGGGTCTGAGAGCCTCCTGGGAAAGCCCGGCAGCTTGGGAGCAAGCTCTTCACCCTGTGCACCTTTGCATTTCTTGTAGCCCAAGGAAGGGGAGTGTGTGCTGTTTCACAAACATTTGTCTGATTCAGCTATTCGTAATGCTTTCCCAGGACATGAATAATTTGACTGTTTCGACATACCAAGGGGAAGTTGAAACACTCTCTGTTTCATGAATAAAGACACTCAGTGAATCGGGCAGCTCTTTTCCAAAAGCAACAAGCAGAGATTTTAACCCAGGCATGGGCTCCTGTTCAGACCTTGCCTGGGGCTGAGCACAGTGTATCAGGTTCCGCTTTAAGCACTGACTTTTCGGGAGGATATGAAGGATTTGGGTACCATCCAGGGTACGACCACAGAATGACGACAGTCGAGAAGGCAGCCTTGAGGAAGGCGTGCGAGGGGTCAGGGGTTATTTGGTCCAGGGCACAGGCCTAGGGGTGGAGCGGAGATAACTAGGCTCCAGTAGATGGAGAAATTGTATAAATAAATGACCCTTCATCTGGCAGGAGGAAGGAGCGGGCTGGATGCACACAGGGTGATTAGTCATTCACAAAGGGCTTCTTGGATTCAGAGCTGAGTTGTTTCACTTTCTAGAGAGTTTATTTGGGTATAAACCCTTATTTCCTTGGAACAGTGTTCTGCTTGGAAACTTAACTTGGTAGATCTTCAGTTTGGGGTTGCTGGTCTATTCTTTTCTCAGTGATGTCTTTCCAATTTGTTTATAGAATGTAGGTTATGTGAGCTGGTTACAAAAGGAAGAAAGTGAGTATGAATATAAAAAGCTGTTTAGTGGACCGACCCAGTGTTAGAGAAGCCAGCTCTGTCATTTACCAGCCCCTGGTTTTGAGGAGGTTGTTAGAGACCTGGAGACCCACTTTCTGTGTCCGTGACGTGTAAGGAAAGGTAGTCTGCTATGAAGGATTACCAAGTAATCCGCCTGTAGCTGAGACAGAAGTGCCAGGATAGTGCCAGGCAGGTAGCAGGTATGCTGGCTTTCCCTGTCCATCCCTTCTCACCTTGCAGTTGATGTGAGGGCCAGTGAGTGATAGAAGCACCACGCTCCTAGGTGTTCATGGGAGGAGGAGAAGAGGTCGGTGTGCGCGGGTCATCAGGAATATGTGCGAGGAGAGGAGGGCTTCAGCTGGGGCTTGACGTTTGGACGGTCCTGACAACTCTTCTGTGTCCTCAAGCTTCAAAATCCCAGTGCCTCGGTCCGAGTGTCTGAGAGGACACTGTAATGTGATTGGTTTTTGCCACAAGCAGATTGTCCTTCTCAAGAGAAGTTTCTTTTAGAGAGTAGCTCAGAGGGGATTTCCTTTTATAATTTTTGAAAAGTTTCCCTGGCCCGTGTTGGGAAGATGGTGCGATCGTGGGCAAGCCTCGTTCCTTTATGTAGCCACTGCTCACCTGGTGCAACATGGTGATGAGCACCAGTGAATCTGGACAGTTGCCATGCCCCAGGGCCCCCGTGCAGTGGTATGGGTCCTGGGGGGTGTGGGAGGGCCAGCGCTGGGGGGACAGACCTCCACCTCTGCCCTGGGGAGGGTCCAAGAGAGGGCTATAAGTTAGCCCCTGCCCCAGAAGAAGGGTGTGCCAGGGCACTTACAGCTGCTGGCTACAGGTGAGCCAGTGTGGGCTGAGTGACGTGTGGCCAGGCCCCGGGCTGGGAGTGGACATGGGCAGGGAAGCAGTAGAGACCAGTCAGGAACTGAATGAACCCAGAACCTCTTTGTGAGTCACTGTTCTTTTTTGCCAGGGACTTTACAAAGGAAAATGGATAATTCCGGTCAACACCTGCTAGTCCATACAGCAGACTTTCTAGTCATGGTTCTGATATCTGTGGTGTTTCTTCCTTCTTCTCCTTAGCCACCTGACAGTGGGCCGCCACCGCTACCAACATCCTCTCTCCCGGAAGGTTACTATGAGGAAGCTGTACCACTGAGCCCTGGGAAAGCTCCGGAATACATCACGTCAAGTGAGTATTGCGTCTGCCTGCCAGCCTCTTGATGTGGGGGACTGTGAAGAGTATGGCCGGCTCTCTGGGTATGGAGGGGAGCCGGGTGGTACAAGATACTGGGGACATAGGGGCCTGATACAGAAAGGACTCTGAAAGCCTGCAGTGCCTTAGAGGTGCTTGTGGAAATTTGGATGGTTGTCTTTCTGCTGACTCATGTCAGGTAGACCTTGTGGCTAAGTGGTCACAGGTCTCGGTGAAATGTGTCCCCTTAGGTCATAAGGTGGAGAGGTGCATGGCGTGTGTTTGTAGCACCCCATGCCTGGGGTGTGGCCCGAGTCTGCTTCCTCATGCCCAGAAGGCCGAAGGAGCCTGGATACAAAATCAGCCCGTCTCTTCTTATTTTCATACAAGTTCTACTAGAACCTTCTTGCCGAGCTAGAGTTGTCCTGTCACGGCTCTGGTCTTCCCTCACAAACACCTAGGTGGTTTGGTTTTCGATCACTGGCTTCATTCCTCCCTCGATATCAGACAGGGGAGCTGTTATCTCGTGATGAAGTGGAGGGAGGATATCCAAGTCCCCGTAGTCGAGGGAACGTTGCCTTGCTCATAAAAGATAAAATGGGAAGTTGAGTGGATTTGTTCATTTTAGTCACGAGGCTTTGGGCACATTAATATTCATGGCACGTGGTGGCCCATCTGTCTTCTATGGCAGTGCACACCAGCTCCCAGGGCGGTCCTCCTATCGCCCGAGGTCTCTGGCCTCTGTCTTTCCTGGCAGCTGACAAGTGGAGGTGCTGCAGCACAGTGTCCCTGGCGTGTTCCCAGAGGGCCTCCCTGCATGTGCTTTTTGCACATGGGCCCAGTGAGCAGGACCAATGGCTCCTGAAGGGCGGGGAGACTTGTTTGCTGGTTTTCGTAGCAGTCACATTCAGAGAGGGAAAGGGATGGTTCTGGTATGGGGGTTAGGACGTGCTGGGTTCTGAGGTCTCTAAGTCAAATGTTTTCTTTTCTGTTATTTAAAAACCATCCGTGGACAATGCACTCATGTAATTTCTAAAGTGTCCACCATTTCAGAAGTCAGTTGATTCATCAGAAAACACAAAGCCTGAAGCGGCTCGGTGTCATTCAGAACCTCACTGGCTTCCTTTGCTTCTCACAGCAGGGAGTCCGGGAAAACAAGCTTTTCCAGGAGGGTATTTCCCACTGCTGGGAATATCTGGCTCTAGCCTGCTCCTACCATCCTTCCCCTCCCACCAACATAGTTGCAAGGCTAGAAACCAAGAACAATTGCAGTCTGAGAAGCCCCACTTCAGTGACATGTCCTGTTCTGTTGTTGAGAGAAGCCATCCCTTAGTTGCCAACGGGCGCGCAGCTTTTGTCAAACCAAATCCAGAAGACAGGGTAACAGAAAGACACAGGCTCGGGACAGTAAGTCAGTGGGGACAGCCCGCTGAGGCTCCCTTAACCAGGTGTCTGGGGTGGGCAGCTGGTGGCAAGGGCCCCCCTTCTGTCTCCTCTTCCCCTCGCCTCCTGAGGAATGATGCAGGGAGATGCTGTCCAGGTGGGTTACTTAGGGATGTGGAGACAGCTCTGTTGAACCCATTCTCAGGTGTAGTTCCAGCAGAGGAATAAAGGGTCCATAATAGGAAGACCTGATGCAGCCATGGAAACAATGGAGTAGCCTGTGTTGCAGGACAGGCTGGAAGGCACCTCTGCAGAGTGGCACATGCCTGGCCGGGCCTCAGAAGATGAGGGAGAGGGCCTGCAGGAGATTCAGGATCTGTGGATTCAGCAGAGAGCTGGCCAGCCTGTGACAGCAGGTGTGAGCTTGCAGTGGCTCCTGACACTTGAGCCAACCCTTAGCGTGTACTGGTGGTGGCTCCCCTCCTGCCTTATAGACTGCTCACAAATCTGTCCTGTGGCCAGCCCTGACCTAGAACCATCCGAGGAAGGGAATCTGGGGAAATGTCATTCCAACTGTGCCAAGTTGGTATGGTGTAAAGCCACCACCATTTCTCCCGTGTCCATTTGGCGTCCAAGCATATCTCTTTTAAGCACATTGAATTTCCAAGTAAAGACAAGAGCAGCATCACGGTGCAGGTTAGCATAATTCAACTATTGCCTGTATCATGGAAAACTCCCTAACTGCCCAAGGGGATAGAAAGTCCCTTTACTGACTTTGGGGTGACACCTGTTCTCTTCCAGCAGGGTCATACTCCCCCCTTGGAGAGAATGTTGTAGCTTGAATGTTGAGATCCACGGCCAACTGCTGTTGGATGGGAGGGAAAGGGAGGGGAGGAGGAGAACTTGTTTACATGTACACAGATATTAGAGTCAGAACAAAGACTCATGTGTAACTAGTCCCATCCTCATTTCTACAATTGGCCAATGGTCATAATGTGTATTTATAACTTCCTTCATGTTCCCATTGTCTCCGGCAAGCACCTTGGTCGATCACTCAATAAAATGACTCATCTTTCCTTCCTGAAAGGTCTGGCTGCTTCAGATGGTTCACTCTTGGGGCATGGAAGTAATGAGGGCTACTCCAGGGACTGCCCTTTCACTCCAGTGTGGCCATGACTGGTCACCACAGCCACTGCCCTTAACCCTCTCTTTGCCTATTCACTCCCCTTCTAGGTTAATAGAGCGATTACTGCATCCTTTGGAGGGAATATTCTGCCCTTAGAAACTAAGACCTATGGGCTAACAGCCAAAATTTCAAGGAAGGGAGGCAGAAATTTTGTCAGTGGATCCCTGGGGTTCTAGTGAGAGGAGCCACTACCATTCTCAGCCCTGGATTCTCAGACCTGTGAGCCCTGGCCATGGGGGAAAGAGCCCCACTTAGGCAGAGCATATACTGCTAGAAGGTATTCTGGAAGCTAGCACCCTGAGTTCCCCAGGGGTGGCCAGTCAAGGTAGACCTGGAACTGAATATTCCAATGGAATTCCACTGGTCTTTTGGGTCAGCTGCTTCAGGTGATGGGGCATGGCAAGACCAGTGGAGCTCATGAGCACAGACCCATAGCTTGGACTTCATTCACTGTAACATGAGTTCTCTGGTCAGAAGCAATGCTGAGGTGCCATGCTGGTGAATAGAGCATTCTGCAAGACTGTGCTTTTGGCAGGAGCATTGTGGCAGGGAGTGATCTTCCGGCGAAAATGCACTGTTACCCCTCCTGTGATGGGAGTGAGCCAGTTACTAAGTAGCTGGCTGACACCCCAAGGGACAATGTCATGTGCAGGCAGGACACCCAGAAGGTCCAGGAGTCACTAACTCTGCTGAGTGGGGATCCTTCCTTGCACCACGGCCATGTACGTGATTCCACTTGGATGAGAATCTGGGGGAAAGAAGCTTCCTGATGTCTATGTGACAGGCTACCTTAGGGAGCCAGTTGTGAAGATCTGCTGAGGCTTTGCTAAGAGCTCAGCTGGTATGTGAACTTCACTTTCTGAGCCCATCTGGGAGGTCCATACAAGTCCCTTCTGCATACCCTGCTTGTGGCCAGTTCCTCTCCAGTCTTGACCATCCAACCAAACTGTTAGGCCATGCTGAGGAGTCTGTGTTAGGAGAAGAAGCCCAATCCTAAAAAAAAAAAAAAAAAAAAAAAAAAAAAGGAGAAGAAGCCCAAGCAATAGGCACAGGGTCATGTGTACCTGAGCTCCTAGCTCGCACCTGGTATTTATGGCTTATGGGCCCAATGGATGCAGCCTGCTCAGATGCTCCGTGGTGGGACAGGTGACCGAGAGCCCGCATTGGGCAGCTGAGGTGCCCATGACAAAGCATTTAGATGCTGCTAGAGTATCCAAGAGCCAAAAGCAGTTTTTCTGTAGCTGAGCTCTGAAATCCTGAAGGTCTGCACTGAGCTTCACCTAGAGGAGCCTGCCTGCCATCAGGCTTCTGTTACCATCTAGAACAGGGTGTGATCAGAGAAGCAGAGCCACTGTGACATGGAACAGAAGCTTCTTTCTGGGGCTGGACTTCACACAATCATGGCAGCTATTGGAGGCCATGGGAACTGCACCTGTGGGTGGCTCAGCATTCCCAAAGAGCAGCTGGGCTTGAAGTGGTGGAGCTCAGGGACTCTAAAAATCCAGGGGACAAACTGCAACCCCATCTATCCATGACCCCCCACCCGCTAGGCAACACCGAAGATGCTGGTCCTCTTGGTTGTGGTGCTGATACTTATGGAGGATCTGCACCACCCAACTTGGGGGCCCAGCAGCAGGGCAAAGGATGCACCCACAACACATGCCTGAGCCCCAGGAGAACCTGGTGCCCTCCACCAAACTTCAGGGTGTAGGGGCTGCTGTTCCTTTCTGCTGTCCCATCTCCTTCTCAATGGCACTCCCTATTACTAACCTCACCCACACCATATGGACCATGGGATTCTGGGGAGCTGGTTCTAGCCGGCCTGGGTCAGCGGTGCTGTCACTACAGATCTTGTTGGGGTTTGGGGTTTAGGCTTGCATTTTCAGTTTCCTGGTTGCCCTCTCTCCTCATTCTCTCCCTCCTTAAGGGCAACTGCTTGAAATGCCAGTTGTGATTTTGTGGGAGATGGGTATATGTCTAAAATACACATTTTAACATTTTATAGTTGAAGGTCATTATTTACTGGAGTGTTCTTCAGTTTTGCCATAACTGCCTATGAGACTGGTGTCTGGTGTGAAGAGTGTTTTCCTAACCAGCAACATCCTGTAAACACACAGATCTACACAGGCCTTTGCTGGCTCTTTGATCTGCCTTCTTGTTCTATAAGAAGTGTAGATGTCTACACAGGACGCCAGGATGTGCCAGGGGCTCACTCCTCCTCCTCTTCCTCCTCTTCAGGGGAGACATTCTAGGACACCCAGTGGATGCCAGAAGCTGTGCATAGTACCCTATTCTCACATATGTGACAAAGTGTAGTTTATGAATTAGGCACAGTAGGAGATTGACACAATAGAACAAGTAGGATGGTACACGGTAATAAAAGTGGAGCAGTTGAGGGATGCACTGGTGGTCACACTCTCTCAAAGCATCTTACTATCCTGTATGCATCCTTCCTACAGTGATGTGAGATGATAAAGTGCCCACGTGATGAGATGTGAGAGGGGAGTGATGTGAGCATGTGACACAATGTGAGGCTACTGCGACCTTCTGATGTTATGTTAGGAGGAAGATGACCTGCTTCTGGACACCCATTGACCACAAGGAACTGAAACAGCAGGAAGTGGAACCATGGATAAGGGTGGGGGACACTATACTGACATGTGCTCATCTCTGAGTGGCTGAAAGGACCCCTGAGGGCATGGGTGTGAAAATCCCTCGTGAAGGTGAAGCCCGCCTGGTTTTGTCATGGGTTTATATGGCACCTTTATGTAGAAGTATGGCTGGTCCTTGAATGCTGCGGCGGTCAGGGCCACTGAGCCCCTGCACAATCGAAAATCCATGTGTCACTCTGACTCTGCAAAATTGTAGGCACTAATAGCCTACTGTTGACAGGAAGCCTTACCCATGACACAGAGCATCCATTTACACATTTTATATGTCTTATGCATCACGTACTGTAGTCTTAATCATAAAAAAAGCTAAAGAAATGAAAATGTTAAAGCAAGGCAGTTAAATACTGTCCTGTATTAACTGAAAAAAAAAATCCACTTATAAGTGGACCCATGTGGTCCAAACGTGTGTTCAAGGTCCAACTGTGTAAGTATGAAAAAGATTGCCTGATGCATAGTAAGCCCTCAATAAACGTGCTGAATGAGTGAAATCAGCTGTATTTCTCCCATTTACAACTGTTCATTAATGCTTTTGCTCATTTGTTCACTAAATATTTGTTGGATTCGATGTTCTAGAAAATGAGCTAAGAACTGAGGGATTCATGATCCTTCCAACTATTGTGAGAATAACCTTCCTAAAATTAAAGTCCAAGTTTGCACATTGCCCATCTGAGACCTCAGATTACACCGGGTCTCCAAGCGGCCTGGGCTCCTGCCACCTGTCAGTGGTTTGCTCCGACACTTCCTACCATGTCAGCTACATCCTAGCTGTTAAAAGCTTTTAAAAACTGTTTTATTGTGAAACATATTTACTAAAAAAATACTCAAAATATGCATATGGACTTACTGACTTTTAATGCAGGGTACCCAGAAATTAAACCCTGAGAGGCAAGAGACATATTCAGGCAAAGGCAGGAGATTGGGTAGGATGAACAGGAAGCCTGTGTGAGAGAGCCGTGCGTGTAGAGCCCCAGCAATGAGAGAGAATGTGCTGCATTCAGGAAACTGGAGATGATCTGATATGAACTGTTCCTGCCTCAGAATGAGAAGGATAGGTGTAAAGGTCTCTGGAAGCCTGAAGAAGGAGGCCTTGGGCTGGGTGTGGAATGGGAGCAAGGGTGGGCGTGTGACAATGCACACAGGCAGGACTTTGAAGACCCGAGAAGATCTTGACCTATTGGTGTGTTGTGGGAGAGCTGCACCCTGTGGGTGGTAGCCTGTTGGCTGGGTCCACTCACCCAGTGGCGGTGTGCCCAGGATCCAACACCGGGGGTCTGCAGACAGCCGAGTCCTCACCGAACAGCATAGGACTGGTTTTCATAGATGAAGACTCTAAGACATTTCAGTTTAAATCTCATCATTACTTTCCACTGCCTACCTTGGTTATTTTTTCCCAGTCTTTACTGATTACCTTTACCCCACCACATGGAGGACCCCTTCCTCATTTCCTGGTACCACAGACATACTCTTGAGCCCACAGGTAGGATTCCAGATAAGGTGTTTGTAGACAGTCCCTCAATCTTTACTTCTTTCCTTACTTTTGACAGATTATGACTCAGATGCAATGAGTAGCTCTTATGAGTCTTATGATGAGGAGGAAGAGGACGGAAAGGGCAAGAAGACACGGCACCAGTGGCCGTCCGAGGAGGCTTCCATGGACCTGGTGAAGGATGCCAAAATCTGTGCCTTCCTACTGAGGAAGAAGCGCTTCGGGCAGTGGAGCAAGCTTCTTTGTGTCGTCAAAGACACCAAACTGCTGGTAACATGACGCGGATGGGTTGTGCTTGTGTAGTGGGTGGGCTCTGCTGGCAGTCTCCCTGGATGGGGTCGATACTCAGGCAATGCTAGCATTGGGTGGCAGGAAGTGGTAGGGGGGCGCCCGGCCTCAGTGCCACCTCACAGGGAGCTCCTTGCTGTCAGGGCGGTCACCACCGAGACTTTGATGCCTTTGCCGCTGGTCCCTGCAGCAACCAGCGGGCAGAGTCCTTCCCATCCCGGGCCAGTGTCTGCGGGTGTGTACTGCTGGAAAGGCACAGGCTTTCACTCGCCAGAAGTCAGCAAGATGGATTTTCTCATTGGTAATGAGTCAGTGAATTCCTCAAAGCCAGGTCATCGAGTGGGCTGAGCAGGCCAGGCGGGGTTTGGGAGGAGAGTGTCCAGGAAAGGAAATTCTTTGGAAAGCTGAAGGCAGATTCTTTTTTTGTTTGATCCTAGAAGCTGAATAGGAAGATGGATTAAGTAGCAGAGAAGCAGGGTGCAGGGACACGTGGGCCTCCTGCTGTGTTGTCCTTCCCACAGGGACCCCGTTAGGAAGTCTGAGCCCTTGAGTGCCTGTGACATTCCCACTCCCTCCTCCCTCTTCCCTCCTCCCTCCTCCCTCCTTCCTCCTTCTCCTGTCCTTCCAGCTTTGGAAACCCTGGTTGATTATCAGAGTTTCTGCATTTTGTTTTTCCTTCAAACTAACTTTGGGGGAAAAAAAAAATCACAGGATTATATTTTTAAAACAACACAGGAGAATTTATGATTCTGTATATCCCTCTTCAGTGGAGTGGGTAACCTTATTCTCTATAGTTTCATCTGTGAATTATGGGAATGTTCTTTTACTAGAGTCTTAGGACATTGTATATTTTTAATGACTTTCAAAAAAATTTTTTTAAACAGTGAGAATACATATTTTTCCCACATGTGTGGCCTGAATTTCTCCCAAATTTAGAATATGCCAAATATGATGCCATTAGGGAATTTTAAAGTAAAGAATGAAAAAAAAAAAGATGAAAAGGATTAATGTGGTCCTTATTTACAGTCTGACGTAATGGCTGCAAGATGTGGATGTGTTGTATAAATGCTGTAACAACCTCAGTGGACTCTCAGGTACAAGAGGAGCCCTGGAAAGGGAGCAGGAAGCCTGTGGGTGTATGGTGGTGTCATGGGGTCAACGTCCTCTCCCAACAGCCCTCCTCCTCCACACCCTCCCCTCCCTCCTCCTCCCCTCTCATTCCTTCCATCTCCTTCCGGATTTCTGGGATTTCTGTCTTCAAAACCAGGATGAAAACACCTACCATTCAGAGTAGTTGTGAACATTTCAGAAGAAATTAATAGAAAACCCTGTGAAAACACTGTCTCTGGCAAAATGCAGAATCAAAGTTAGTTATTTTTATTATGAAGCTTTTTCCTTTCAAAAACGTCCTATGATCCAACTACCCAGATGACCCCTGCTGACACTGAAAAAAAAAATTAACAGTGGTAAAACGAGTGCTTTCCAAGTTTGAATAACACAAAAAATTGCAAATGGAAAACCAAAAGCCAGGCTCTTCCCTAAGTGTTTACCGCCTGTCTTCCCATGGGTAGCACCATCCGTGGGTTTCTGCATAAGCTTCTGGTGTCTGTGCCCTTCCAGGCCAGGCGGCCCTGTGGTGGACCCCGTGATGTACCAGAACCCCATCAGGACAGCTTGCTCAGGTCATGCTCCCTCTCCTGGGGTCTGCATCAGGACAATCCTGTCGGTGGCTTCCAGCTCCAGAGATTCCCCAGGCTCTTCTGAGGCTGGTGGCTTGCCTTCTTCCTGCCCCTCCATCCCACAGGCCTGGCTCTCAGGGTGCATGCTGCCCTCTGCTGAGAGTCCGTTCCCCTGGGAGTCTGACTTCAAGGATGCCCAGGCTGCACTTTGACATAGGGCTGGTGACATTCCCTTTTAGAGGCATTTCCTGTCTAACTCTGTCCACTAGTCCACTACCATTAGTTTCCTTTTCACTGTTCTGTTTTTTTCTTGCACTTACTGAGAATATGAAACTCCCAAACAGTGAGCGTTCATACCAATCTGGGGTTAGTTGGTTTTGGTGTATTTTTTTTTCTTCTATTTCAGACAGGGCAACTGTCAATTGGATTTTTGTAAAATGCAGGTATGTTCTATACCTGTGGCACTCAGGAGCCAAGGTTTTGGAACTGTAGGATAGGAGAGGACTCTGGAAGTCACTTCTGAAAAAACAGGTGTCTCTTCCTTCCCTCCCTCTCCAGTACCCGGCACCCAGTGGAGAGAGCCGGCTGTGCGCTCACAGCATTTGGGGCTGGGTTCTACCACTTTTCATGTGTCTGACTTTGGGCAAACCATTTAACCGAGTGAGCCTCAATTTCCTAATCTGCAAAATGGACAACTATGGCAATCAAGTGAAAGTATGAAATACCACACATGATGTTGACACTCTGTACTTGGTATTGGTAGCAGGTATTATTGTAACTAATCATTTACTGTGATTCAATAAAATCACGAAGATCACAGCAGTAGTTCATTTTACAAATGAGAAAGCAGGCTCAGAAAGCTTGAGTGGCTTCCCAGGTGCCAGATTAAATGAATAGCAGGGCCAGAACCCAGATGTCTGCATCCTCAGACCCTCCATTTCCATGAATATGGGTGCTTTTGGTTCTAAGTAATATGACTAGACCCAAGGGGAGCAGGGAAACCTTTGGACAAGATTTGATTCTAGGTTTCACAGATCCAGACGAAGCACCGGTCACGTGAACTAAATCTGAGTGTTTGCCACAGCACTGAATTCTTTAGAGTGGACGTCTGCTGTGCAAATGGAGCAGGGAGAACTTCGGATTCTGTACTCAACTAGAAAGCAAACCTTTGCAGACATGCTGCATAGGATGTGTTGCTGTGTATACTGTCGAACTCCCTCACCTGTCTTTCAGAAAGGTGATGGAGATGAGGCCGGAAGATACCAAATGACATAGGTTGTAGAATAAAGATCCAAATTGTTGTCTGCACACATTGGGGCCATGCTTTTCGGCAAATCTAATATATCATGTTCATGAGACTTATGGGGAAGCTGCACTGGGGCATGGTCCCCATCAGAGGAGAGGGTTTCTCTCTCCCACCAAGGCTCGTCATTCATGCTCCTTGGCAGACTCTACTGAACTAAAGAGTAGGTGTATTTTCACGTACATGCGGATGACATGTCACATGTAACGGGCCTGTGGGCTTCATGTGTGTGCCTACATACCCACACTCCAGCCCCCGAGCTGCTCCACTGCTCAAGGTGACTCTGGAGGCCTCTTCATCCCTCTGCCAGCGTCATATCTGTGTCTCTCCTGGAACTCCTTTCACCGTGACTCTGGTTTCTTGTGTTCAATGCAGTGCTACAAAAGTTCCAAGGACCAACAGCCTCAGATGGAACTGCCGCTGCAGGGCTGCAACGTGACGTACACACCGAAGGACAGTAAGAAGAAGAAACACGAGCTGAAAATCACCCAGCAGGGCACAGACCCACTGGTCCTCGCCGTTCAGAGCAAGGAGCAGGCTGAGCAGTGGCTGAAGGTGAGGCACTCACTGGGCCTCGGAGCCTTTTTCATGGCCAGGCCTCTTTCTCACACCTGTTTTTATTTCAGTGTGTGTATTTCTCAGGCAGAGGCAAAAATGGATTAACCTGAGTAGGGTTTTTTTTCTTAAGCATTTTATTTTTTTTATTTTTTACAGATTTTATTTATTTATTTAACAGAGATTGCACATGCACCCAAGCAGGGGGAGGGGCAGAGAGGGAGGGAAAAGTTGACTCCCCGTTGAGCAGGAGCCGGGTGCAGGCCTTGATTCTAGGACCCTGAGATCATGGCAGATGCTTAACTGGCTGAGCCACCCAGATGCCCATAACCCAAGCAGTTTTATCTTTGATAGTAGGGTGTTCCGATGACTTTGCAGCTAATTACTCTAACCCTGGCCTTCAAAAGGCAATCTGCCTGGAAGTTGCAGGCTATTTGACAACTTTTTCTTTTCCTTTGATTTTCTTCCTTCCTTTCTTTCTTCCTTTCTTTTCTTTTCTTCTTTTCTTTTCTGTTTTCTTTTCTCTTTTATTTTCTTTCTTTCTTTTCTTTTCTTTTCTTTTCTTTTCTTTTCTTTTCTTTTCTTTTCTTTCTTTTCTTTTCTTTTCTTTTCTTTTCTTCTTTCTTCTTTCATGCCTGAATGTGGATTCTTTTCTATTTATTCTGCTTGGACTTCCCTGGAATTCTAAATCTGTGGATTATCATCTTTCTAAGTTCTAGAAAAAATATTTTCAGCCATTTCTCTTAAAAATATACCTTTGGGGGATCCCTGGGTGGCGCAGCGGTTTGGCGCCTGCCTTTGGCCCAGGGCGCGATCCTGGAGACCCGGGATCAAATCCCACATCGGGCTCCCGGTGCATGGAGCCTGCTTCTCCCTCTGCCTGTGTCTCTGCCTCTCTCTCTCATTCTGTGTGACTATCATAAAAAAAAAAAAAAAAAAATTAAAAAAAAAAATATATACCTTTGGCAGCCCGGGTAGCTCAGCGGTTTAGTGCCACCTTTAGCCCAGGGTGTGATCTTGGAGACCTGGGATCGAGTCCCACATCAGGCTCCCTGCGTGGAGCCTGCTTCTCCCTCTGCCTGGTCTCTGTCTCTCTCTGTGTGTGTCTCTCATGAATAAATAAATAAAATCTTTAAAAATATATATATACCTTTGTCTTATTCCTTTTCCCCCGACTATGTTTAAATATATGTTAGACGTTTTCACTGAATTCTAGTTATCATCTCTTTGTCTTAGTATCTTTTTTTTTTTTTTTCTCCTTAGTCTGTTTAATGTCTTCTTGTTTCTTTCTAGCTCATTCTTCTCTTTCTAGCTATGCCAGATCTGCTGTTGAATTTGTCCTCATTGACTGGGTTCTGATTGTTGGTTATGGACTTCTAGTATTTCTAGTTGTTTCTTTTTCAACCTGGGAACACCAGTTTTTACAGTTTTAAATTTCCTGCAGAAATGTTTGCCACTTATTTTCATAACAAGCAAGTAACAGGCTTAGTTGTTGGACAGGGGCTTAGCGGGTAGCATGTAGACCTGGCTGGGTCATTTGTTGCTGTGCAAAATTGTTCTCAACATTTTGTCTTCCTGCATGCCAGGTTATCGGGTGATCATGCTGCTCATTCTATGTGGGGAAAAATTAGTTCAATAATTTTTTTAGAACAGCTTTCTTGAAGTATAATTCACATACCATACAATTCACCCTTATAAAGTATGATGGAGTGGCTGTTGGTCTCTTCATCATAATCTACTTTCAGAGCATTTTCATCTCCCCAAAGAGAAACGCCATACTCCCCATGTGAGCAGCCGTTGCTCCCATCCCCAGCCTCACCCCCAGCCTCAGGCAAACACTAATTTGTTTTCTGTTCCTATAGATTTGCCTGTGTTCAGCATTTCATGTCATGCCGTGTCCTTCTATGATGAGCTGCTTTCATTTGGCATAATATTTTCCAGGGTCACTTGTGCTATAAAATGTGTCAGTACTTTGTTCCTTATTATCACTTTCATGCCATGTCTGAGAAACCTCTGTTTATTCCAAGGTCCTAAAGTGTACACCTATGTTTTCTCCTGATGATTTTATAATGTCAGGCCTTAAATTTAGTCTGTGACCCACTTTGTTTAATGTTGGCATGTAGCATGAGATGGGGGTCCAATGTCATTCCTTTTCTTTCAGGTATCTAGCTGTCCCCATAGAAATAATTTGATTCTTGGTACTATGGTTTCTTCCATCGGAGCATGAAGGCAAATGAAAATGCTCTCTGTATTGCCCTCTTCTCCCCGAGGAGGGTATACCGTGGTCACCTCTGTCAGCCAGTCAGACCATGCATGTGGCTTTCCTTGTGTCCGCAGCAGGGGAGACTGAACAGAGCTTTTGTTTTCTTCATGGGAGTCCTGTGACCAGGACTTTCTGCTCAGCTTGGTGTGCTTGTCCTTCCACGAACTTGGATATGGTATGCATCAACCACTTCTGTTAGCAATATCTTTAAAGCCCCTTAAAGTTTGCAAAATGCTTTTCCACCATGGGTTATGCCTTAGTGCATAGAATGGCCACCTGAGGAAGGTTCTTGTGAGGAGCTTCCTTGTATAGGCGAGAGACTGCATCTCCAGTGGGCTGTAGACACAGTGACTGGTGAGGGGCAGAGCCAGGAGCTGACCTTGGATTTTTCCCCTTTGCCTTCCACCTCCCTGTGCTGGGCCACCTAGCACTCTGGCCTTTCCCCTCCATTTCAACCTGCTTGGTCCTGGCACCATCCCATCAAGAAGGAGGGAAAAGGATGAAGGGGAAGCGAGGAGCCTCTGTTGTGATTCTGTTTTCTTGGCCTGGTTCCACTCCAGGCTAACCGTCTGCGGCCTTCTGTACCCTTAGGTCCCCCTATTCCATAGTGGAAAACCAGCAAGGGCCACCCTGAACCCCCAACTTTTATCTTTCCCCTCTTCTTACCATTTGATGGGTATCCCATCACACTGAATAGATCCCTTCCTCATGACTCACTCTATACAAAGCTGTTGTGAACATCTTGGCCTTCTCCTGTCCCCTGAGACCTAGCACTGAGCTGCCACTGCAGCTTACGGGTAGGCACATAGTAAGAAAACATCTCTGAAATGTTAGGCACTGATGGAGTGAAATAATTTTACATCCTGTTTTGCCAGATGTGAGATGCACATCACAGGCGCTTAGCTAATTATATGGTGATGACTCTATTTGTCAATGGAAGCCTGATTGCAAGGCTTTTTTTTTTTAACATTTGCTGGTATTTCCAGAAAGGGAAGCAAAGAATACGTGGTAAGTTGCCTTCTACTGAAGAGTTTAAATTGATTAATTTCTCTGTTTAATGTTTGTGCTTTCCTTCAGTTACATGTGTCAGTGTGAGAAGCTAAGGATTCTTGGTTAGAAATCACAGAGATGAAACTAATTTCAATCAATCGGAGAGTTTTCTTTCTTTAAAACCAGCAGAGACCGGGAAGGGTCCAGTGTAGTATTTTCTCAGTCCTGTTAGTAGGTTGGCTGTCTTATGGGTATTGCCTAGAAACTTGATAAACATAGACTCCCAGTGACTCAGATTCATGAGGGTTCTAAGAATCTTTTCCTTTTCCTTTCACCTTGTATCTTCCTGTTCAAGACCTCAGATGCTACAGCTAGACCTGGAATATGCCTCCCCTACTAACTTTCTCTTCTTTCTCAAAGGTAACTTCTATCCTGAATATTATCACCAAGGTATGCTTTAAAAAATACTTTTTCACTCACATATGTACTTATAAATCAGAAGTGATTTATTTTTATGTTTAAAAGTGTCCACGTACATGGCTTCAGAGTGCACAGATCCTGCAGCTTGCGTTTTCTACTTACCCTGTGATGTTGCTCAGGGGTCAATGGGCGTGCAGTTTATGCACCCCATCACCATCCTGGCATGCTTTGGTAAGCATTCTCGTGCATGTCCTTTGGCTTCTCTGGGATGGATACCGATGCTGGCATGGCTGACTTTTGTATGCACACATTTTCAGCATTACTAGATCTTGACAAATGGTTTCCCAGGTTTGCTTTTGCAATTATACATCTGCCAGCGATGTATGAGAGCAATCATTTTGTATGTGTCCCTTCCGAGAGTCTCTCTCCATATCCACATGCAGGCAAGTAGAAATGCAGATTTTAATTCCCACCCCCATAGGCAAGCTGTGGTGTTCTGCCTTTTGCTTTTTACACTTAAACAAAGTCTCTTGCAGATCTTTCCAATTTAGAGACTGGAGTCTTTCCTTTTGCTCTTTTACAGTATGTACCATTTCATTGTTCAAACAGACCATAATTTAAAAAATATTCTCTTATTCCTGGGCATTGGGTTATTTTCAGACAACTCTGTAATAATCAACCCCATGCGTATATTATCTCTCACTCTTGCTAGTGTGTGGCCTGACTTCCCAGAGGGGCTGTTGGCTTGCATGAAGGTTGTAGGCACTCATAATTTTGATACACAGCCTCCCACCAGCAACGTGTCAGAATGCCTTTCCCCCACAGCCTCGCCCTCTTACGTCAGCAAGCTTTGGGGAGTTTGCTAGTGTCGTGGGGAAGGGTGGATCTCCCTCTAGTTTAATCTGCATTTCGCTTCTTATGGTCTTGAATGAGCTACTTTGCTTGTCTGTGCCTTGGTTTTCTACTCTGCAATGGGAGGGAGGGTCATAATGGTGGCTGCCTTCCTGATGTGTTGTGAGCATAAAAGAATAAGTTGAGATGGAGACATTTAGAAGAGTACCTAGCATGTAGTGAGCACCTATTTAAGTGTTAAGCTGCTTCACTATTGTTGCTTTGTTCTTGTTATCACTATGCTACCGCTTCTAGGTCTCAATAAACTCACAAGCTCCGACTGAAAACAGTTTGAAAATCAAGATGATAGTGGGATGCATTAGGGGCCAGAGCTAGGGGTGTCCACATCCACCCTCCTTTGCCCAGGACCACACGGATGCCCCCAATGTGCCCCCAGGAGGACACCCTTGAGCTTGGCTCCCTTGCGCACAGCCCT